TCCCGGAAAAAAAAAAAAAGGGTGTTTGTGAAATTTCAGTAGTGTTTTGGGAGTATTTGGGGGGCGTTTGATGGTATTTTTGAAGGTGTTCAAATGATGTGCAGAGTATTTTTTGAAGATGTTCAGTGGTGTTTTGGTGATGTTCAGAGTTGGTTCAAAGTTAGTCAGTGTGTTAGTTGTGCTAATGTCTCATGTCATATGTGTATGAGTCAGTTTTTTTTTGTGCTAATGTTGTAAAGTCTGGAGAATGAGGGAGGAGTTTTGTGGATGAGATGTAATTTTGGTTAATGAAATGTGTAAGTGTGAATGAGAATGTAAATTGGCGAGTGAGTTAGAGAAGACAAAATGTTATGTGATCTTAGTAAAAGTATAGATAGTTTTAGTGATCTTCGTTATGATGATGTTTTAAGAGAATGTGTACAAAAATGTGTGATCTTAGGGGTGGGATTATAGAATTTGTTAAACGTCTTGAATGTGGTGATCTTAGATATTGGAGATATAAAAGGTTGTAACAAGTAGCTTCCTCTCAATAAGTTAAATGAAGTAAAAGTGGGGTGTGACGTCGCCAAGTAAACACAGGATGGAGTGTGAAGTCATGGGAGGTATCCCTATCTGTGCTGGTATGTGTTGGTGGTAGTGAGAGGAGTGTATTAGATATTGTATGGAGTTGGTGATTGTGATTTTTTGTGTGAATGTTTATAAAAATGAGTGGTCGTTGATGATAGTTTATGGATGTCTTAGTTTTTTTTTGTGTGTGTACATGTTATGTTTTCAGTTGGTGGTGATCCTGCTGTAAGTGTTTCGATGTTGTTTGGAAATGTTCAAAGGTGTTTTTTGTGAGCATTCATATGATTTATGAGAATGTTTTTTATTTTTTGCGCTCATGATATATAATAGTCTGAGGTGAGTGGGATCGTCTTGGTTATAGTGATTTGAGGGGATTTCTATAAAATGGGTGTTAGTTGGTGGTGTTGATCCTAGTTTCTGGTGATTTTTAGTGTTGTTTGGGCAGTATTCGGTGCGTGTTTGGTAGCGATCAGTGGTGTTTTGGGAGTATTCAAAGGAGTTTGATGATGTTTCTTGAATGCATTCAAATGATGTTTTTGGAGTAATCAAAGGTAATTGATGATGTTTTTGGTGTTGTACAAAGTAATGTGTGATGTGTGTGTGTTAGTGTTGGTAATGTCTCATGACGTAAGTGTATGAGTTAGTTTTTGTGATACTGTTGTAAAAATCTCGAGAGTGTGGGAGGAGTTTGGGGGATGAGTTGTAATTAATGAAATATGTAAGTGGAGATAAATTAGAGATGTCAAATCTCATTTGGGAGTAATCAAAATGTTCACTTGGAAATGTTTCAGTGTGTTTGGAAAACGTCCAAAGATGTTTATGTGAATATTCAAATGATTTATGAGAGTGTTCGAAGTAATCTGTGGGTTGTTCTGTAGTGAGATGATAAAGGTTGTCGATGAGAGAATATTTCTTAAGAGATATTGAGAAAAGGTGGTCTCAAATGATGATGTATGAGAGTGTTTTGAAGGTGTTCAGAGTAAAGTGAGTTGTCTGTGTGTGTTAGTTGGTCATAGAATTTTGTGAATATCTTGGTTACAGTGATTTTAGTGGATTTGAGATGGGTGATGAGATGCATTTATGGATGTGAAATGTGATTTTTGTGTTTGTTCTGAAGAGGTGTGTTGGGAGACCGGTGAGTCGGTGTGAAGAAATGTGGGTTAGACGGAGAGGGGAATGGGGAGGGTTGTATTAAAAATTTAATGAAATATGGGGGTATTTTACTGAAATTAAAGGTAATGTGTGAATATTATAAAAGAAATTATAGAAGTGAAAAGTTATGATACACTGGAAAAGATTGGAGTGTGTAGAAACATGTCGCAGTAGTTGCGTAGTGAGATGATTAGTTGCTGTGAGTGTAATATTAATTTATGTAGATACAACGAGGTGGGTATGGAGAG